TGACTTGCATTCTCTTTCTAGGGGACAGGACTCCTCTAGACACGAGCCCAGGCTAATGTCTGAGTTCTGGGCTGGTGCCGTGCTGGGAAAGGCCGTAAATGGAGGGAGGGCACTAGGCTTCTGGCCAAAGGGCTGACTTGGTCCTGCTTCCTGGTCCTGCCGGCTGTGCAGTCTTGCCCACGTGACCCACCTCTCTGGACCTTGGTTTGCCGGGCTGTGAAATGGGCACCGTAGTGCTTCTTGCCAGACACTGTGAGGGTCAAGTCGGGTCATAAATAGAGCATCTGGCATCTAGTAAGCCCTCACCAATTTGGCCAAATGAAAGGTCTTTTAAAGCACATTATTTTCTTATTTAAACATTTCTACCAGTGTTATTCAGGAAGCAGTTGCTTGTATGGAACACGACATAGGATGCCGGTGGAGGCATCCTGGATTGCGACCACACCATCTCAAGGAGGCGGGCAGGTGCACACCCGGTGGCCGCTGCACAAAACTCCCCCCAAAGAGGAGGAACCCAGCAGCCTAGAGCTGTTCAGAAGTGGCGGCAGGCAACCTGGAGCTCCCCGCCCGTTAGCAGGGTTTACCGGCGTGGGAGTCACACCGCTAGTGGGGGAGGCAGGGAGGAGAGGCGCCTGCTCGTTTCCAGGAAGCAGCCCCTGGTGACTGCGGACTTGTGATTGGGAGTTTTGTGCAGCACGGGTACTTTCCACCCAGACTACACCGTGCCCTGGTCTGACAATGAAACCTCAGTGCTGGGCTCTCGTGTTCTTATTTGTTCCAGTGAATGTCCTAGTCATTCCTCCATGTTCAGTGATTTCTCACAGTGGGATTGCAAATACCCAGACGTGATTTCTAGCAGTGGGATGGTTTGATAGGGAAGGATGCTCTGAGAAACTCAGGAAAGGTGTTGAATCAGAACCAGGCTCCAGGAAGGCGGCCAGAGTCCCTAGACCTTGGGCAACAATGAGCACCTTGATTGCTCAGCTCACTCGGAATGTTTTTTGGAGGGGCTTTATCCTTTCGTGATACATCCTTGGGGCTCAAAATCTCACCCACTTAAAACTGCCACTTCTCAAGTTGATGAGAGTTACAGTATCCATGAAAACACCTACTCTTGGGAAACTTTGTAACCAGTGATGCTGTGAATGAGTCCTCAAGTCACAGAGCTTTTGTCTTTGATGAATTACTGGTGAAAGTGTCAGAGAAGGAAAAAATGTATCTAAACCTGCTAAGTCTTTCCATTGCTGAAATTATCCCTGATTATGCGTGTCTGAATGGTCCCCTGTATTTGTATTTCTAAATATACTGTAAATATACTTATACATGTATTATGATGATGCCCACGTATTTGCTGTGGTTGGCGCTACTGAGCCCTGGTATTCACACCCTTGTGTTGTCCCCTCCGAATCAGCACAACCAGGCACCCGGCTTTGGACTGCAGGACGTTAGCCAGTGCGACAATTTTGGAACAGTGTCTGGAGCCCCGAGTCTCATGAGAAGAGGCCCAGCTGAGTGCTGGGTAGACGGTGTGCGGACCAGAGCACCTGGGCAGCCCCGGCGGGGTGCAGAGCCCAGCCCAGGCTCCAACCCCAGCGCATCGCGGTGCCCAGCCCCGAGAGCTGAGTCAGGAGCGCCAGTCATCACCGTCTGCACCCCTTAGACAGTAGTGTCGCGGGCTGCACGGAGTGGATAATTGAGACAGTACCATTTATAAACACTGCTCTGAGATGAGAAAAGATAAAATTACTCATCAAAACACTGGTCAGAAGAAAGTGTTGAGTGAATCACCGATTCATTGCAAGATTAGGAGTAAATAACATAGTTAAGACCCACGCACAGAAGGCCTTGTGACTATATCCCGAGCGGTGGCGGGTGTGCTAAGGTCCGGGGACCGGAACCGAACGTGGACACATGAGCAGGGAGGAGAGCCAAGGTGTCCGGAAGGAAAAGCGTGACTGGGCTCCGTGCTGTGTGTCTGTGTGTGAATCCTGAATGTGGACAGTCAGAAGCGAGTCTGGCCGTTCCCTGGCAGGCTTCACTGAGTGGGGCCGAGAGCAGATTTTCCTTTTATTTTGCATTTATTGTGAAATATAAAACACAGTCAGAAAAGGGTGCAGAGCCGAGATAACGTATCGCACGTAAATTCCTGCGTAGCCAGGCCCGGGGCCAGAAGGACCACGCAGCCACTCCCAGGAGCTCCCACGCTTGCGTCCCTGCCCCTAAAGGTAACAATTATCCTGCCTTTGATGGAAATCACTTTCTTGCTTTCTTTAGCGATGGAATGCTGTGGTTGAGCTCCGCTGGCTTTGATGCTTGTCTCCACGAAAGCGTGCGGTGAGTACTCTGTGGTCTCGGGCTGGCTGTATTTAGCAGCAGATCATTCCTTTTCCTTCCTGTCTACTTACACACCTTACACATCTCTCTCTCTCCTTGCAGCACTTCTGTTTTCAGTTCGGGGCTGAAACAAACACTGCAGGGATGAGTGCTGCTGTGCTGACCCCTGCGGCATGGGTCCACGCGGTTCTGTTGGGAACACGCTTGCTGGTGAACGTGGCGGCTCCCACACAGACTGTGTCCTTGGCTTTAATAAACGACACCGAGCTGCCCTCCAAAGCTGGTCAACGGCCTTCCTGCAGCCCCGAGAGCCCTGTCACTACACGTCCAACCAGTGCCCTGGCGCTCTCAGTTTTGGCCATTGCTTGCATGGCGATCCTTGAAGCACCTGCTCGTGGGTTTACTGTGTGCGTGTGGGCTCTCGCTCAGTTTTCTGTTTGATTGTCAGTTGTTCTGTTCGTTGGTAGGACACCCTTCTACACACCAGGACAGAGCCCTTGGTAAGGTCGGTGCGCTGCGGATGCTGCCTGTCTCCTTCTGACTGATTATCTCTTCCCTATTTACCAGTGCTCTTGGGGACCGGAGGGTCTGACAAGTATCATAGGGCAAGTCACCGAGTCTTCTTGTTTGTGGGTAATGCTTTTCTGAGTCTGTTGCATGCGTCTTTCTCCGTCCCGTGTCCAAGAAATTATCCTCTTACATTTTTGTCTAAGAACGGTCTGGTCTTGTCTTTGACACTTGGATCTGCGGGGCGTGTGCACGGCGTGAGCCAGCTCTGGGTTTTCCCATAGCTCCACGCGGCTCTCCGACAGACCCAGCCACATCTGCGGAAAAATCTGGTTTTTCACTCTGGCCAGTGTTCCCGTGGCTTCATATCCCGTTCAGACCTGGCTTCAGCTACTCCTTCCACGTGCATGGGATGCGCCGCCCTGTCTGTCAGGTGCTGTCCGTGAAGTGGGAAAGTGCCCCTGGGAAAAAGCCGCTGAGCTGAGCTCGCCTGTGGGGTCTCCGTCTTCACTGGGATCTGACGTGGCAATTCTCGAATGTGCTGTGACTTCCCCGGTGCCCTGGACCCACCTCTCTGTCCAGCTTTTCTCCCACTCCCAGTGGGAGTTCCGTTTCTGGTGACCCTGTTCATTCCTACTAGAAGAAGAAGTCTGACTCAGTTTTAAATAGATTAGGGTCACCTTCGGACCCGGCAGGAGAAGGTGGGGGCGCGGGCCAGCGGGGCGTGAGGCTTCTCGGGGGTGCACGTGCCCGCCGGGGCTTTGGGGAGCGGGTTCACGTTGGGGGTGGTGTAAGGCTCCCCGCGGGGTCTGAGGCTTGGAGGGAAGGCGGTGGCCAGGGACGGAGGGAAGGCGGGGGTCCGTGGGGGGCGTTCACGAGGCGGCAGGCGATCCAGCGCCGGTTGGAGCTGTAGGGACATGAGCCGCAAGTGACGCGCAAATGAATTTGGCGTCTCCTGGATGGCAAGGGAAGTGTGTTTTCTCACGTAGTGCAAATTCTGGAGTCGGGGTGATTCCAGAGTTGATTAATTCGTCTCCTGGTACCACCGAGAATGTGGGTTCTGTCCATCTTCCCGTGTCCGTTAGCGCCCCGCAAGCTGTCCACGGGCAGGAAAAGGGGAGGTGCCATCCCTGCCTCCGTGTCTCTCTGCAGCAAGGATACCCTTCCCCAGAGGCCACCAGCAGAGACCCCTCACACGTCTCTGACAGAGAGTTCTAGAATGTCCATGCCTGATGCAGTCCCCGGGGAAGGCTGGATTGAGACTCATTCTCTGGTCTGGGGTGTGCCCCCAGCCTCCCATACACAGCAGCAGGGCCTCTGGGAGGTGGGGGCATCGGAAGGGCACAGGGAGAGAGGGTTTGAGCAATGCCTGGGTGGGACAGGGGAAGAAGGAGAGGCCCCAAGGCCAGCGGTGGGGGGCCCAGGTGCAGGAAAGGTCAAGAAAGTTGGGGAGACATGGAGGAGGGAAGCCAGAGGAAGAGAAAGGGGGCTGGGGACAGCTACCAACCAAGAGGGGGGCATCAGAGTCGCTCCATCCCGAGCCAACTGTCCCCAGCCCTGCCTACTTTCATCCCCTGGACGTCAGGTACCCAGATTGACTGCAGCTCTGGCATAACCAAGCCTCAGGGGCTCCTCGCCACTCAGCCTTTTCAGACCCACCTTTTGCACGAGATGACAGCAAGCCCAATGGCGTGGCTGTGTGCACCCAGGGAACCGTTCACACCCGAGCTGGGGATGGACGTGCCTGGGTGCAGCATCGCAGTCGAGCTAAACTTTCTGAAGCAGGAACCAGCTTGTCCTTTGGTCCTCCAGTAAGGTAGGGCCCTTCCCAAGCTACTGGGGTCTCCGTCCCGCAGCCTGTGGTCCAGGCAGGTCTTGTGATTCAGAGACGCCCCAGCACCCATGGGAACAGAGGCTGTGCTTCCTAGGAGCTGGGGGCCCATCTCCGGGATGTGCTGACGCTTCGGGATGCTGACCGGCCCAGCAGGAGTCATGGTGCACACGCTCTAACCCCCGGGCGCGAGCTTGGCGCCTGTGCTCTCTCTTCCATGAGCGAACACTGGCCAGGCACTAGGGGTAGGCCGGGAGGCTACAGCTGGTCATGCCTCCCAAGGGGCACGGGCTTCCCAGTTGTTACGTCCCAGGACCTCTGGACACAGCTTCAGGCTCAAGGGCACAGATCAGGGCCAAGCTGACTCACGCCTGAAGGACCAGGTAGAAAATCATTTCGGCGTTCAAGGTTGGACACTCTGCATTTCAACCCCAGCCCGGTGGTTACAGCCTGGTAACTGGTTGCGGAGCAATGTGAGTGAACGAGTTCTTGGAAGACTTGACAGACCACAGCAGGCAGAGCGCTGGCTTTGGCCCCTGGGCTGTGGCTCACCCGCTCCCCATCTGAGCTGATGGGTGATGCTGTTTTCTATGGGAGAAGGAAGCCGGGGAAATGGTGTTAAATTCTTTTTTTGTCTGGATTCACTATCTGATCGAAACACGCGTTCATGGCAGTTTTAATTGCCGTTTGTAGTAAATGTGACGCAAAATGTCACATTTTGATCTCTTTCTGGTTGGCCAGCAAAGGGGAAAGGCAGCCTCGGCTCTTCCTCCCCCCCAACACAGACATCTGCTCTTCGGGTCCCGTTCCCTGCCTACGTACCTGCCCCGGAACTTTCCATCGGAATGACCCGGTGGGTGGCTCAGACCCCTGTGCTTCTTTCTGTTCCTCTTCCTGCAAGTCCTGAAGGGAGCGCAGACCTTCCTGTTTGTCACCCACTGTCTTCGGGCCTGCCCGGCCTGGCGGTTCCCCGTGCCCGAGGGCCAGAGCTCCTCCACGGTTCTGAGGTGCACAGAGGACGCTGACCGTGCGCCCCCGGCCTGGAACAACAGGCCCGCGCCCCCATCTCGGTGGGGAATTCCGTGACGTTCCAGCCAGAAGTGCCACAGCGCTGGGCAGCGTCCACGCCGAAGGCAATGCTGGATGTTCTCGCTCAACAAGAATCACCCTCCTCCTCGCTGGGCCTGCGGTTGGTCCATGTCGGGACAGACCCAGGTTACTTCCAGAAGCAGCAGTGACAAGGCCCTGGGGGGCAAACACTCCGCCCCGGCTGCCCCGGCGAGCGGGGCAAAGGGACAAGCCTGCGCGGGGAGCGGAGCGGTGAGAGCGGGGCCGGGACACTCGCGTCCGAGTCTGCGGGTGAGCCCTGTGGCCTCGGGCACGCGCTTCTTGGAGCCTCCCTTCTCTGTAAAGTGTGAATGTGTGGGGTCGACGGTGACATGGGCCCCAACTCTCCCTCCCTCCGCTGCACCAAGTCCTTTCCAGTGTCCCTTGCCGGCCCTGCCCCTGAGTGGCAGAGTCCGTGTCCCCGTGCTGTGCACCACAGGGCCTCGTGACTGCCTCTGGCCTCCATAGCACAGCAGCGGTGATGGGGAGCCTGTTCAGAGCCTGGGCCCCCCAGGGTCTGGCGCCCCTTTTCACTGCTGCTTGTCCGTTGTTGCCCGAGGGCGAGCCTGGGCCGGCCTGTGAGGAAGAGAACTGAGGCGTCCAGAGGGCAGCCCTCGGGGGTCCCAGCAGCACACTGCCTGGGGACCCCCAGCTTTCCAGAGGCCCAGAATGCCCTAACCGCCCAGTCCCCCAGCCTCAGGCGCTGGCCAGCTGGACCGGGAGCTCCGGAGATGCCGCTGGAAGCCCACAGGGCCTGGGAAGTTTGCTGCACCACAGTAGCTGGCTTAGTCTTGCTGTAGCTCCAGGATGTCGTGAAGGTCAGGGAAGCCACGTCTAGAATGCTTCGTGCGCCGTCAGCACCACGCGGAAAAGAGCTCCTTCACGAACCCTGTGCGTCTCCGTCCGCACCGACGCTGAGCGGAAGACGCGAGTCAGCACAGCAGCCCCTTCGCCCCCTCCACGCGCTGCTCCAACACAGAAGAGCTTGTTTTTCCCTTCTAAGGACCTTGGGCGACCTCTAGTCCCCCTCATGCCCTCAGCCAGTACCTACGGGCCAGCTACCGCGTGCCAGACACCGTTTCAGGCGCCGAGGATCCTGGGCTCGGGTGGGACAGCGAGGGAAAGAAATGAGGGTGTAAAACAAAAGTGTCAGAAAGGCCGTGGTGAAGACAAGCCCGGGGAGGGACAGCGGAGTAATGGAGCGTCTAGAGGGGGCAGCACGGGAAGGGGGTCTCGAAGGGCTGGGAGGGGCCAGATGGTTGGTGTTTCTCACCACAGGCTCCGAGCGGCTGCGCTCCGCAGGGTCCCGCCCCTCGGTCACGGGGTGGTGAAGTAGGTGGTCGCAGATGCTCACCACTAACCTTTAGTGACCGGGAGGTCACCGGTGCCTGACATTACCGCATCACGTATTTGGAAATAGAGAGGTTTAGATATGTATTACTGACGCACTGCGGTGCAAATATCGCCCCAAAACTTAGTGCCATAAAATAAAAACACTGGAGCACCTGGGGGCTCAGTGCGTGAAGCCTCTGCCTTCGGCTCGGGTCATGACCTTAGGGTCCTGGGATTGAGCCCCGCACTGGGCTGTCTGCTCCGCGGGGAGCCTGCTTCCCCCTCTGCCTGCCACCCCCCCTGCTTGTGCTCTCTCTTGCTCTCTCCTATAAATAAAGAAAATCTTTAAAAAAATAAATAAAATGTGAATAGTCGTTGCTGACCTCTTTCAGCACGCACGGGTCAGGAACAGGGGGCCACGTGGCTGGCTCGAATCTGTCTTGTCACTGCTGTCAGGTGTTGGTGGGGACTGCCATCATCTGAAGGCTCAGGTGGGGCCAGAGCCTCCCCTGCTGAAGCGGCAGGAGCCCCAGCTCCTCCCCCGTGGGGCTCTCCGCACGGCTGCTCCAGAGTCCTCGTGACACGGCGGCCTGCCTCCCCCAGAGCAGGACATACGAGAGACCAAGGAGGAAGCTGCTGTGTCTTTCCTGAGTGGCCTCGGGCGTCGCACACCATACACACCATGCCTTGATTCCGCGCAGGAGGAGGGGAGGACGGGAGAGGGTCTTGGAGATTGGCCCTCCAAATGAGTGGAGTCTCGTTTCCCTGAAAAGCCAGCGACACTGGTGCTTGCTGGTGGGTCTAAGATCACTCACATCTCGGGCAGGTTCCTCTCGCTGGAGGAGGCAGGCCACCCGAGTCCAGCTCCCTGTCTGCGAATGTGCTCCCGCTCCCTGGGATGCGATGTGAGAGTCAGCTCAGAAGCTCGATAAAGGCCTTTCTCTCCCTCCCCCGGCTGTCTCGCATCTGCCGGCACCAGTTGGTGTGGTCATCGAGAGCGCACTTGCATTGCAACAGCCTCACCTGACATCCTTCGAGTCGGGACACCCTGGAGACCACTTTGCTGGGGGCAACACAATGGCCGGTGTAGACCCGTGACCTGGCCCCCCCCCAAGCTCTCCTCCCGGTGTTTGGTGTTTAGAAGTAAATGTCCAGCCCAGAGGGAGCATCTCTTTCAGCTTGTCTTTGCCGACCGCCCACCATCGGTTCAGTGGCCCATGTGGCGTCCTGGTGAGCCATCCGGACAGGCGTGTAGGTGATGCGTATGCCTGAAAACGCACTCGGGACGCTAACCCCACCGAGGCATCCGTTCACGGACAGCTAGCTCTGGTTCTCGCTAAGTTTCAAGAGCATTTGCAAGTTGGATGTCAGTTATGTACCTTGGTTTAGGTTCATGTTTCTGAAACTCCGTGTTATGGTTCAGAAGTTTGGAGCCACTGACGCTCCCGGTCTTCTGTGTTCTCAGACGGTAACGTGACGCGCCGGTGCGTCCTTGGATGACCTGGCCACGGGGCACGGCTCTATAGGGCAGCTCATCGGCAGGGCTCTGCTGCGGAGGCTGCTTTGCAGACCGCTGGGCTCGCCCGCGGGAGCGGGGTGGGGGAAACGCATCCCTGCTCCCGGTCAGCAATGCCAGAACGGGCCGGTTTCAGTGAAACGGAGCTCTGGGGGGACAGCTAAGCTTCAGGGCGTCAGCTGCCCTCGGCAAACACCCTCCCACCCCTGCCCCAGGAGCTTTCCTCCCCACGGCCTCCCTGGCTCTTTGGGTTTCCTAATGAAGCGGCTGTGGTGGACGTGGCTTGTATCGAAGCTCGGATGAGGCCGTCTGGAGCCGTCTTCACCGTGCCCCCCGCTCCCGGCAAGTGGGGTCTGAGGACAAGCCGTCCGATGCAGCGGCTGTGCCTTTGTACTTTACTTAATCACGCAGTGGGACTCCTGGTCCGAAGTGGGCGCACTTACGTGCAGGTGGTCCTGGAACGACTCCCTCTGTCAGGGGTCGGGAACGGGCTTCCGTGCCGTGGCTGTGGGGTCCGCAGGCTCCCCGCGGCGGGCAGCCGTGATCTTCCCACGTGGTGATCGGGGACACGCCGCTCCCTCTTTTCTTCCAATAGTGTGGAAGAAGCGACCTCTCACGGAGAGTCTTGTACATGGGGGTCCCCCGTTTCACAGCCAGCAGCTGTTTGTGCCGTGTGGCATTTTGCCCGGGCCGCGGGACCAAGCAGCAGAGTGGACGGCTTAACCAGGAGAAACCTATTCTCTGGCCCTTCTGGAGGTGGAAGCGCGACACGGGGGGCTTGGCAGGGTCGGTGTCTTCCAAGGTCCGGGCGAAGGCTCTGAGGCGGCCGCTGTCCCCCTGGCTTGCACAGGGCTGTCTTCTCCCGGTGTCCTCACATGCCTGTCTCTGTGTCCACATCTCCTCTTCTTAAAGGACACCAGTCCTACTGGATCAGGTCCCATAAAATGACCTCATTTTATTCTAATTACCCCTTGAAATGCCCCGTCTCCAGATAGTCTGAAACTCCGGGGTTAAGGCTTCAGTGTGCACATTTTCGGAGGACACACTTCCACCGGTGACACTCTGCGGAATGCGGCCCAGCGCCGTGTCCGTAACCGTGGAGAAGAACTCGCGGGATACGGGGCTCACGGTGACAGCGCGACTGAGGCGCCAGTGAGATCTGGTTTCCGACGGGCTCTTTGGCGTGTTGGAGCGCGAGGAAGAGATGGACGTGCGTGGATCTCGGGAATGCGAAGGCCGGTGCCTGTGAAGTCTCAGCCGTATGGGAATCGCCGCAGACTCGTGAACACCCAGCTTTCTGGGCTCACCCCCTGAGTTTCTGCTTCGGGAGGACTCGGGAGGGGCTGGGGAATTTTTAATTTCTAGCCAGTTCTCAGACGTTGCTGCCGGTGGTACTGGTGGGGCTGCTGATGCTGGTGCCTTGGCTTGAACAGTCCTGGGACTGTCCCCCCGAGGGGCCCCGGGCAGACCCCAGTGGAGGAGTCATGGCGAGGGGGTCTTACCCAGGGGAGCTGTGATGACGTGCACGGAAGCTGCAGATGGGGATGGGCTCAGTCCCCAGCCCTTAACATGCCCTGTGCCAACTCAGAGAACCGTCAAGACAACACTGGTCCCAGTTCTGCGGCACGGCTGGTGTCCCCACTGCTGAGGTGCCACGTGTTTCTGGGTCCCCTCAGCAGGTCGGGAAAGCACCAGGACATGGAGCGACAAAGGCGGTGAAACAGGACGGAGTCCCTCCGGTGACCCGCTCCCGGCTGGCGCCTGAGGCTCACACTGCACACGGGCCGTACATCGGAAGGGTGGGGGTGCCGTGCGTTCAGCATGTTCTGACCTTGGCCCCGATGTGACCCAGATTTCACCTCGTGATTGTTGCAGGTGGTGGTTTTGTCTCAGGGAGGAGACGAGCGATATATACCAGGTTCTGCCCGTTGGCATTTCCGGACTCCCCCGCCCCAGTGAACGGCAGTGACCGGCTTGTCAGGGACCTGGCCCTTGCCTTCCACGCACTGTGGCTGCCCACGGACCCCCCTCATGCCACTGCAGGCCTCCGGTGGAGCCCACCTCAGGAACCGCCACGGCTGGGAGGGGATGCCCCCAGGGGTCGATAGTGAGGACCTCTGCACGAATCAGGGTCTATTTGGGGGGGGGTCTCTTCCAATAGCAGCCCCTCCTGATCTCCATCTGGCATAGATACAGCCCCCTGGCCCGTGTCTTCTTCCCCAAATGGGCCCCCACCTGGGCTCCAGAGGCAAACAGAGCCGTGCGCCCCGTGGTCCCCCTGCCCTGTGGTCCGTGCGCCCCGTGGTCCCCCTGCCCTGTGGTCCGTGCGCCCCGTGGTCCCCCTGCCCCGTCTTCCGGGCTCGGGGCTCAGGGAGGGCTTATGTTCCTGGCCCTCGTGGCCGGGTTGGGCTGTGTGGGAGCCGACTCAGCAGCCTGGGCAGAGGCGAGGGTATGGGGCAGTGCTGGGTGATGGTTTCAGTGCTGCGCCGAGACCCCATGGGGCCGCCTGTCCTCCGACGGCGACGCGGGTCCTGGGGTGAGAGCAGGAGGCAGAGCCCGGCGGATCCTTGGGGGGCGAGTTCGACCGGCTCGCCCTCCGACGGGCACGGGCACCCTGAGACTTGGGACTGCTGGTCGCAGCAGCCTCGCCTGAGCCCACACAGACGCCGCCGCGGGTTAGGACCGCCTTCCGCGCAGCTTCTGGCCGTTTACAGCTCCCAGTTCTGGACTCAATGCAGCCGTCTCTGGCAGGACGGCCCTGATCTCAGCCGTCCCCTGTGCTTGTGCAGTGAGCCAGGCCGAGGGGCCGAGTGGCCTCACACGGAGCGGGGAGTGCAAGCACGGGGAGGCACAGGCCCGTCGTGGCCTGCCTGCCACGCCTGGTTCAGAAGCCCTGGGCGCCCCTCCCCCCCACGCACACCCACAGGCCCTGCACACAGACGGGATTTCAGTGTGTCTGCAGGACCTGCAGCACATTCCCGTCTGCAGCCCCAGGAGTCTAACACCAGCGGCAGGTGCGCTCACGGCGGCTCCCGCAGCCCCACTCATGAGCAAACCTCCAGAGTCCTGGGCTCCGCTCCAGCCGATCGCAGCAGGACATATGCCAGGGAGAACCACGGACACTGACCGAAGCCATTCTGAGGCTGCTAATCCCCCAGTCCATCACCCCCTTCTCAGAGCCCACCGAGCGTGCTGGCCGAGTGGGGAGACACGGGAGACCCTGCACCCCAGGAGGGGATGGGAGCGGCTCTGCCCCATGTGGTCTGGTTTGGAAGTTGGGTCATCTGTGCCCGGAACGGTGCCGACCCTGCGGGACGGAGCTCAGCATGCTTTCTACCATCCCCACGTGCGCGGGCCAGGAAGCAACCACTGGCCCCAAACTCCCTCGCAGGGGGATTCTGGGCATAATTTTGTCTCAGTGTGATGAGGTGCACGCCTGTGATTTCCAGCAGAAGGGGACCTGCTGGGCTGTGTCTGCTGTTTCCACGGCAGTGTGGTCGGGAGGCCGGGGGCTCTCTGCAGCAGCCTTAGTGGAGGTCCCGATGTCCGCAGGGCCAGGCAGCTGGGGCACGAATGGCGGGAGCAGGGCTTGGCGCAGCCACCACACTAGTAGCCTCTAGCGGGGGCCTGGGGACCTCTTCTGCTCCCTCGTGCCTGGCCACGTGAGCCTTCCCTGAAGCACACAGCTCAGGCTGATGGTTTTCTGCTCTGGAATCGCAATGGAGGTAGATGCCCTCGGGGGTGGCGGGGACTCTCAGAGGGGGAGGTGGCTGCACCTGCTCTGGGTCCCTGACTTCCCACCGTGGCAGAGGGAGCAGAGCCCTGGGTGGGCGGTCCGCTCTGAGACCAGGACCCCCGGAGTCCCCGGCGAGGGTCAGCCCTTGCTCCTCTCTGCCAGTTGGCCAGCAAGAAACTGCTCCAGGCAGATCCGCCTGGCTTCCTGGCACCTGGTCTGTGTGAACCAAAGGTCCAGCCCCGTGTCCTTGGAAGGCTCTGCCTCCAAACCACCCACCACACCCTCGAACACACAGAGCTTCAACTTGCCCTGAAAACATAAAGCCTGTCCCTCAGGAGCGTGGGCTGGCAGCAGGGCCTTGCTCTCAACCAGGCAGCTGGCCAGCCTGGCACCGCTTGCCCTGGCCGAGGACCCCCCGCCCCCGAGGGCTTCCCAGGTGCCGCTGCTGGCCCGGGTGAGCGCGACCCGCCTCACGCCCCCAGGAGGACTGCGGGGCCCCCGCACAAGAACGGCCCGTTCCTGGAATGGGGAGGGCCTGCCAGGGTCCCGGAGAGAGCAGTGCCTTTGGAGCCCAGAGTGAATCATGTTCCTGAAATTTGATTGGATTTCCAGCCGGAGGTCAGACGAACCTGGGAACAGAAACTCCCTCCCTCGATGGACAGATCCATTTACTCTTCTGTTGGATGGATGAATTTGCAGAACGGTGCTCTCTTGGGGGGATAAATGGCCCGGAGCCTGCAGGGACCAGAAGATAGCCTGTGGTGAACGTGCCTTCATCGGAAGTCGTGCCGGGCGGGCGTGTTAGCGGCAGCCGAAGAACACGGACACTCAGAGCCCCGAACTCCCCCGTGGCACGGCTGCTGTGAGTTCCCAAGGCTCTGTTCCCCTCTGGCACTCATTCACCCGGTCTCTGCGTGGCTGGGTTTGGTTTGTTCCTTAAATTTTGTAGACAACGTTAGCTGTGTGCACATGGATGTACCCTCGCCAACGCCAGCCGGCCGCCCCAGGGAGGAGGTGTCCGCCTGCAGGTGCCGTCCGTGCAGGAATGCACGGGTGTGTCCCAGCCCTGTCCCACCGCGGAGGGCGCGCCAGGCATAGCGAGGACTCGGTGACCTCCAAGTGCCTGGCCCACACACAGGGGAATCCCACAGACGCAGTCCGGGCCCTGGCAGCTGGAGGGAAGAGTAGAAGCTGTGTAAGTCCCTTGCCGTAATGTCCAGGGAAACCGAGCCTTGTGGTTAGAGGCTGGGCAGAGGTGACCCGGGTGGGGTCCTGTGGCCGGGCGGTGACCCCCTGCGGTGTGGCTGGGGTCTGATCTCATGCTGGGGCCGAACACGTGGGATGAGCAGCATGTGCTGAGACCCCAGATGCCACCACCGAGCTCTTAGGAAACGTGTGCGTCTTAGGTGGAAAGTAAGAAGAGTGAGGGCCGGCTCCGTCGTGGGGCGAGCAGAACAGAAGACCCTGGGGCCTCTGGTGGGGGGAGGCCTCTCCACATACCACCTTCCTCCACCCGGCGGTGCTGTCTCGGGCTCATGCTCTGGGCTGCGTTTCCTTCCTGTGGGACTTCAGTGACACCCCTGGGGACACATGGGGATGGCCAGCACAGGCCGAGGTGCTGTCCCTGAGCACCTCCCACATGGACAAGGGGATACCAAAAGCTGATACCTGTTATGGTGGTTTTCAGGAGTTTGACTCCAGATTATCCAGAACAGTGACCACCCCGAAGTGCGTTGTGGCACTTGAAATGGAACATCCAGGGTCCTTCTGGAATATTTATAACGGGACAGAGAGAGCAGCGTGGGGGCGCCCTGGTCCCAGGCTGGAGGGAGATACAGCCAGGGACCTCCCAGAGCCCGGGAAACGGGTTTCCCGCTGCAGACCTCTGGGGGCTGTATCCGGAGTTTACTATTGGGATTAGCAGCAGGGGCAGTAAGAGTAGTTAGTAGTAGAGGGAGTCGGGTTCCTGCAAAACCGATCCCCTTAGGAGGAAGAAATTCAGTTTCCCTCTCAGAAACCCTTAAAAAAAGAACCATCCTCTCCCGAGAGAAGCGGACAAACCAATTCAAAACTCTCACTTCCTCAACCCTCAGCGGAAACTCAAGCACCCTTAAGGAAAGAAAAGACCGCCGAGACACACAGGACTATTTTAAGAGTATCA